AACGATAGAAAAATAATACGTGATATAGTAAATGAACTTTTAGAAAATAACATCATACGCGAAAGTAGATCGTCTTATGCGAGCCCCGCACTTCTTGTAACAAAAAAAAAATGGAGAAAAAAGACTTTGTATAGACTATCGGTTATTAAACAAAATAACTATTAAGGATAAGTACCCTATGCCACGTATTGATCACCTTATTGATAGACTTTCTGGTCACAAATGTTTTTCAAGTCTTGATTTAAAAAGTGGTTATAATATTAATGAACGAGAATTCAATACCCAAAACTGCATTCATCACGGAAGATGGCCATTATGAGTTTCTCAGACTCCCCTGTGGTTTAGTTAATGCACCATCTTGTTTTCAATATATGATGAATAAAGTTTTAGGTAATTTAAGGTTTAACAATGTAATAGTTTATTTAGATGATATTTATCTTGTAACAAATACGGTGGAAGAAAATTTGAAGTTATTAGAACAGATATTGCAAATTTTTAGGATGAATGGTTTGACTCTGAATCTAAAAAAAGTGTCATTTCTTCAAAAGTGAAATAGAGTTCTTAGGTTATCGAGTAAAGTCTGGGAAAATTATGCCAAATGAAGCGAAATTAGAATCAGTTAGGCAGTTTCCAAGACCCAAAACAGTACACCAACTTCGACAGTTCATTGGTCTAATAAGCTATTTTCGGAAATTTATTAAAAATTGCGCAATGATTTTGGTGCCTTTGACAAAACTGTTAAAGAAGGATACTACCTGGGCTTGGGAAGACAAACAAGAAGAGACATTTCAATCGTTAAAAAATAAATTAACATCAGATAATTTCCTGTCTATTTTTGATCCCAATAGAGATAGTGTTTTATACACTGATGCTAGTCGAGAGGGTATTGCAGGAATACTTATGCAAATTACAAATGAGGGAGAAAAACCAGGCCATTATTATAGTAGGCAAACTACCGAAAATGAAAAATTATACCATTCATTTGAATTAGAACTGTTGGCAATTATTTGTTCGCTCCAAAAATTCCGCCTATATCTGTTAGGTTCAAATTTTAAAATCATAACTGACTGCAGTGCTGTACGATATGCGCTCACTAAAAAAGATATTGTCCCACGCATAGCTCGATGGGTATTAGCTACACAAGAATTTTCATTTGAAATTGTCCATAGAGCAGGTACACGTATGCTGCATGTTGATGCATTAAGTCGAAATCCTGTAGTTTCGGGGGAAAAGTCTGAAGTTGAAATCATTATGTCCATTACTGAAGCAGATTGGTTGCTGTTAGTGCAAACACAAGACTCTAAAATTCAACAATTAAAATCAATTTTAGAATCGGGAGAGGCCGACCAAAATAGAGATGTTTTTGACAAATACGAATTGCTTGGGTCAAAAGTTTACAGAAGAACAGCAAAGGGTCGTCGATGGTTGGTACCAAAAAAATGTATTTGGCAAATAATTAAATACAACCATGATGACATTTTTCTGTAGACAAAACTGTAGAAAGAATATCAAAGTTTTACTGGTTTCCCCACATGCGTCGTATTATAAAAAAAGTACATAAAAAATTGTTTAAATTGTATATACTTCAAAAACAAAGGGGGTGCCAAGGAAGGCGAATTATTTCCAATGCCAAAATATGCTCAACCTTTTCATACACTTCATTTAGACCACTTGGGTCCATTCAAAGTCAAAAAACTTGTGGGAAATGACAGATATGAGGTAACGGATCTTAAAGGAAGTGAAAGATCCTTTAAAAAGTATACTGGCGTGATAGCGGCTGAAAATATGAAGCCGTGGATTAAAATAGACAACTGGAATGAATCTGAATAATTACGTGATTATATTATGTATATAATAGATATTCGTGTTGGCAAGGTAAACACCTTAATATACTGTTTTTGGTATCTTACCTAATTCATAGTTTATTAAAAATAGAACACATAAAAAAAAATTATGTATACAAGTAAAATATTACATCAGGCATAACAATTTGGTTTATAAAGTAATACGAGTATACACGTAAGGTTTGCGAGTCAAGATAAAATGCTTTAACTTATATTTATGTCACACATTAATAATTGTTGTAAACATATTGAAAGGTACATAGGCATAATTGTGAGTGAACTTGGTACGCTCAAGTGGGTATATCCCTTTGAGTGCAAGTGGCTCTATTGTGCAGGGTGGAAGACTAACTTGGTCTCTTAAGTGCGGCAGAGTCCCTTTAAGTGCAAGTAGTTTTCTAACAGACAAACAAATGTGGAAACAGTTACTTATGTGTGATATTAGTAACAATATGACCGCATTACCTTACACCTTTATTAAGTATATATTAAACTACTAATAATAACATATAACTCCTGTAACTGACTTGTTATTTTAATAAATAGAAATTAAAAATACCTAAAACCGTCGGTATTCCAAGGTAAATAAATAAGTTACCTAAATATAGTTCATGCGTGTAAACATACTCGTATATAAGTGAGGTAGGACGTGTTGAACCAACTCGGTATGCTTAAGTGAGGTTATTGCCCTTTGAGTGCGAGTGGTTGCAAAAACTAAGACTAACTTGGTCCCTTAAGTGTGGTAAATTCCCTTTAAGTGCAAGTGGTCTTCAGTTCAGTCGTCATGGAAACAAAGACGAACTCGGTCTCTTAAGTGAGGAAAAGTCCCTTTAAGTGCGAGTGGTCTTCAGTTTCAAAATATTCTGTTTGCGATCAGTATGTGAACATGTTAAGAAGACTGAACATTATGCGTGTGACATTTACATTATTTCATATTTAATTTCATATTTTCAGTTTCAGTATATTCCATAAAATTGTGGCGTCTGGGGCAAACGCCTTGCAGAATGGCCGTGTTGGCAACTTAATGAAATCAACATTAATTGACCGGAAGTTGACGCCGGTGACGCCATCTTGCGGCGCACAATGACGTTCACGTGCAAGATGGCGACTATATAAGCAAACAACCGACCTAAGCATGGCAGTCTTAGTTCCGCTCGCGCTGTGACAACTAGTGTAAATTATAAAATAAAGTGTTGTGATTATTGATAGCTATGTGTGATGTATGCAAATTAGTGAATAAATAGTTTGATGATTGAAAGTGAGGTTTTAGTTAACAATTTGGACTTCATGAAACGTGGTCCTCCAGTGAACGTGTTCGGCAAGTAAACACGTCCAGGCACAACGCCACCTTCCTCCCCAAGTATGGTTTCATCTTCGTTAATTTGACGCGAAACATCTACATTATCCTCGATTTCCTGGAGTGGAGCAGTTCTAACAGCGGAATTAGACGACCTACTCTGTAACCTACTGATATACCTTAGCCTTTCCTCCGATATTCTACTAAACATGTCTACTGTCCACTCCTCAGAAAGTCGGCCTAATTCAGAAAATCGAGGTTCCGAAAGCAAAAGACACCGAACGTATTTATTTTGCGTTAATTTATTACCTTTATTATCTAATTTACTGGGAAACCATCCGGGGTTACCATGAGGATAGAGCAAAGGAAATTGGAAACTTTCATACAGTTGATCCATAATATCAACTGTATGCGGTTTCCGCCCGCCTACTTTCCAAACTGCAATACAATTCGGAATGAATCTTTCGCTTTCGGTACTTAAAATAGCAGCTACTTCGTTCCCTATCGGCAAGTCTCCTAAAATGTTACCGTGAGTGCGACGCGACGCGCGTTCGAAAATAAGATGAGCATCGTCAGAAGGTTCCCTACTCAGTTGTTTGAAACAATCGATGTAAGGATTTACATCGTGCAAAAAGTGATTGATAGACCTGATTACGGTTGAATCTAAATTAAGACCAGCAGCTAAACTTTCGCGTTCGCTGCTGTCATGAATATACAAATTGAGAGGATTGGTCGTGTCTGTATAACTGAGATCGAAAACGCGGTGATAGACACGACCTTGAATTTTGAGAAAGGAAATCCCGGTAGGAGGATTATGAAAACCGTGAGAAACGCCTAAGGCACTAAAAGCGAATAGATTGTTATACGCTCGCGGGCGTTGAAGGAACGCGGGATGATGATAGAAATCCTCATCGAGAGGTGGAAAATTTTGAACGTTGTAAGCGCCGGCGCCACAACACCATTTGAGTCTCATCTTTTCTTCGAAAAAAAGACGAGCGTGGCAGTGAGTACACACGAGAGCCTCGTTCGCGAATAAAGAACGCGTTTTCAACGAATACATCTGTACTACATCTAATTGTTCGTTGCATTTTTGCCCGATTAAATGAGAAGAACTCCTAAGAGCGGGTTCGACATTACGACTACTGGTATTATATCGTTTAACCGCTTCCTTATTCACGGATGGATTTTCCTCAGCATATTTTTGTACCGCGTCGCGATGAATCGATGGATTTTTCGCGGTGTATCGCTTTACGGCGGTGCGATGAACGCTCGGATTTCGATCGGTATACTGCTTTACTGCCGTACGGTTCACATTCGGATTACGGGTAGTATATTTTTTTACGGCGTCGCGATTAACGTCCGGATGTCGAGCAGTATACCGTTTCACAGCCTCCCGGTTTACCGCCGAATTATGTTCCCTAGGTTTCCTAACACTCAAATTTTTATTTTCAAGACGGCAAATCCTATCTTCTACAATTCCCCTTCCGGATTCTGACTAGCTCAGACGTGTCTTGGGTCCGTGCTGATTTATATTAATATTTCAAGTAAATATTATTTATAATTTAATCAAGTCAAGTACCAGGCCTGCATAGCCTTATGAAGATTACTTACAAAGTGCGAATGAGAAACAGTGCGTAGTGACGGTGACAGGGATATATCCATCAACATCTCCTCGGTGGGCGTGAGCGATTTGACAAATACGAGTAACCCTACGGCTCCTCGTTACGCCTCCTCTGTTATAGTGTGAGTGAAGCCAAACCTGTTACTGCGTCTACGCAGCTCCGCCTTATCTTATCTATAAGCTCCCGTCGGCAGTCATTTAGGCCTACAACATTTATTATTACTAGCACATTATAATCAACATGAATCCTGCGCGCTCGCCGCCACAATATCAAGCAAAACAAGCAACAACTACAGTTTCATATTATGGATCGGACTCGGCAATCAATGAAATGACACAAGACTGTAACGAGAACAAAATGTTCATTAATTCTAAGCGCCAAAAGCGCTCCCTATTTCAGTCAACACCCTCGGAATCATCCTCGCAAAGTGGTACAGAAATTAAAAGATTATTTGATGAACTTAGAACTCAACAGGAGCAAAAGTTTGAATCACTTAATAGTGCCATTAATGTAGTTATAACCCAAAACCAGGAAATTGGAAAAACAATGGAGTTTATGTCAAAACAATATGATGATTTATTGCTTAAGATAACCAACCTCGAAAAAGAAAATATTAATTATAAAAAGAAGGTTGAACTTTTGGAAAACAAGATTGATATGCTCGAAAAAAATACACATAATTCAACTGTTGAAATTCGTAACATACCGTTGCAGAAAAATGAAACTCGACAAATAATTTCTCAGATTGTTAAAGATATCGGATGTGCTGTTTCTTTATCTACACCTATACAAGACCTGGAGATCCGTGACATATATCGCACTAAAGCGGAAACCATTGTTGTCGATTTTTCAACCACACAAAGAAAGGAAAGTCTAATGTTAAACCTAAAAAAATTAAATAAATCCAAACGAAGCAACAAAGAACCAATGTTAAATACATTAAACATTAAATTGTCAGGCCCGAACAAAACAATTTATATATCGGAATACTTAACCCACAAAGCTAGGCGACTTTTCTTTCTCGCCAGGGAAAACGTTAAAATGAAGAAGTTAGCTGCAGCCTGGTCCTCTTACGGAAAGATTTATGTTAAGAAGCAAGAAGATCAGCCTCCAAAACGAATTGATACCGAAGATGATTTAATAATTGCTTCAAAGTGACTAATTTTGCAATACACTTTTATTAAAAGTGACAGGGTAATTTTTTTATTTTTATTTTTATTTTTTTTATTTTACTTCTATTGCATGTTTATTGATTATTGTAGTAAATCTGTTAATGAAAATGTAACAAAAATACTTTTTTATCAAATTTATAATTGTAACTGCAGACTGAAAATCTTACTCACATTGCAATCTTCACGTCTCTCACAAAAACAAATACCGATACTAAAAATTATTCCTCAAATAATATATCTATATTTATTATATTGTTTATATTTTCGACTGTGCCTACATAATTTATATAATAATATAATCTTATATAGGGAAACTGTGCGCTCATTATTATTATTTTGTAATTATATTACTATAAAACAGAATGATTTTGTACTGACCGTTCCCTTTGAACTTTTCAGTTATTGTGTAAGCCATACATATATTTTTTGTGAAACGCCAAGACAGTGGATTGATTTCTAATTAATGGGTTTTGATGCAAAAAATATTGAGTCTATTAACTCAGAATTGGATAATTTTGCAGTAGCCAAATCAATGACATGTGACGTGGATGCGATCATATCAAATATTAAAAACTACCCGTGTAATTTATCTTTACTTACCCAGAATATTAGAAGCATAAATTGTAATATGCCTAACTTTTGTACTCTATTGAGCAGGATAAGGATAGATTGGGATTTAATGGTGCTCACGGAGTGTTGGCTTAAATCATCAGGATATGTTCCAGAATTAGAAGGTTACAAATCATTTGCTACCACAGTTAACCATACTCAAAATGAAGGTGTAGTTATATACTGTAGGGATTACATGAATGTGTCCGTTGAGGAGCCATCAATAAGTGATGCCAACTGTCTTCTAGTAAAACTTAATCATGATACTTGCGTTATAGGTATCTATAGACCTCCGAGTACACAAAATATAAATAACTTTATTTGCTCTCTGGATAGTCTCTTGATCTCTCTCAGCTGTTATAAAAACATTATTTTATGTGGTGACATTAATATAGATATAAAGGAATCTACAGCTGATTTGCGTTCACACGAATATCTCAATATATTAGCAAGCCATGGTATTCTTCCAGGTCACACAATCCCTACACATGGTTTAAACTGCATCGACCATATGATGATAAAAACAAATCTTGAGGCGCTGTGTATCGTTGCTGAAACATCAATTACTGACCATGAATGTGTCGTCATAAACATGAACCTAAATGCTAAGTTAGATTACTCGGCCAAAACTTACAAAAAAATTGACTTTATGGGTCTTGATTTAGCTATGAGTAATATAGATTTTAGCGCAGTCATAGACTGTGATGATATCAATGTAGCTACTAATCTATTTATCTCCAATATAAGTACTAACATCCAAAACAACTGCAAAATAGTCAAGATACCAAGAAGAAAAAGAACTAACAAACCATGGATCACTGTAGGAATTCTACGTTGTATGAAGAATAGAGATAAACTACACAAAAAGCTAAAGAAAGACCCACACAATGATACGTTAAACACCACTTATAAAAGATACAGAAACTTTTGTTATTCTGTAATCAAAAAAGCCAAAAGAGCATATGAAAAGCAGGAGCTTGAAAATGCTAAAAACGATAAAAAAAGATTATGGGACATAATTCTAAAATATCGAGTAACAACTAAAAAGACTGACTCGTCAACTTATCTTCTTTCATCCATAGATCCTAAAGGAAGTATAAATAGGATAAATAGCTATTTTTCAGATATAGGTAAAAAACTGGCCGAGGAAATCGAAATGGATTCAGCTTACAGTAACCGAAATAAATACGCATATAACCACAATTCTACTACATCTTGTAAATCGCTTGTGATGCTTCAGACCGATGAAAAAGAAGTTCATATACTTATTACTGAACTAAGAGATCACTGTGCTGTGGGATTGGATATGATATCAGGAAAAATCATCAAACGTTATGCTCAGTTATTATTATCACCTATTACACATATCTGCAACCTTGCATTAACGACTGGCATCTTTCCAGACGCGTTCAAGGTGGCTCTCATAAAACCTATCCTTAAAAGTGGGGATAAGCTGAGTCTAAATAATTATAGGCCTATTTCAATTCTGCCTTGTCTATCGAAGATCCTGGAAAGACTAATGAATAAACGTTTAATTGATTTCCTTGAACGTAACGACCTAATTTCCAATGCCCAGCATGGATTTCGAGCGAAGAGATCGACTGCTGATGCTGTCCACGAACTTATTGAGGCTGTTGCAACTAACATGGATGTGGGCAATAAATGTATTACGGTGTTTCTGGACCTAGCAAAAGCTTTCGATACCGTATCGATTCCAATTTTAATAAATAAACTCTTTAGAATCGGTGTAAGGGGTATTCCCTTAAAGCTTTTCGAAAGTTACCTCTGTAGAAGGGTACAAAGAGTGAGGATAGGTAATTTAGTCAGTGATGAGTCCATGGTATGCTACGGCGTTCCCCAGGGAAGTATCCTTGGTCCATCTCTTTTTTTGATATTTATCAATGACCTGTGCCAGCTGAAACTTGACAGTGGTAAAATTATCACTTTCGCTGACGATACTTCTCTTTTTTTTCGTGGTAATACTTGGAGTGATGTTTTCCAAAATGCTCAAATGGGATTAGATGAGGTATGTATGTGGCTTCAGGAAAACCTTTTAACCCTCAATATCACCAAAACTAAATACTTAACATTTGCACACAGAAATAGTTTCTTACCATCTCCTGATTACCATATTCTAGTTCATACTTACAACTGCTCTAAAAGTAACACAAAAACATGTGACTGTCCTCGTCTTTGTAGGACGGAATATATTAAATATTTAGGTGTTACCATAGATCAAACTCTCAGTTTCAAGCCATACATTGGTATCCTTGTCTCTAGACTGCGTAAACTAATATTCATTTTTAAATCATTAAGGCAAATAGCAGACCAACATACAATTAAAATGGTCTATTTTGCCCTATGCCAGTCTTTGATTGACTACTGCATTACTTCCTGGGGGGGTGCAGCTAAATCCTATATGCTAGAAGCCGAGAGAGCTCAGAGAGCTATTTTAAAAACTGGTGCCGGCCTACCATATAGGTTTCCAACTACTGACCTCTATAAATTATGGGATATATTAACCATAAGACAGACCTTCGTTCTTCATACAGTCCTCAAAAAACATAGGGAGATTGAGTTCAACCCAGAGCTACTTAAAAATAGACGCCGAACCTATAAAGTATGTTTAAATCAAAAATTTCACACTACTTTATCACACAAATTTTACTGTTTTCTTGGACCATTTCTATACAATAAAATAAACAAAATTCTCACAATTTACCCTCTACATAAAATTACTTGTAAGATAACGTTATCTAACTGGTTAAAAACATTAGATTATCATGATACAGAAAACCTTCTAACCTCAATTTTATAGTTAACTAGCTGATGCTGAATATATGCACATAGAAAATAGTTACCATTCATATATTACAAACTTGTTAAATTTAAAAGTCTGCAGATTCTAGAATTTAATTGTAATTAAGACACAGAAGTTATCTGGATAATATCCAAAATGGCTATGAGGAACTGAGTATTTGCCTTTATATAACATACTTCTTGTTATCAACCGTACGTTATATACGGGCCTGGTGACCTGTTAGTACAGATACCTATGGTATCTTTTACAGGCTCCAGTCTCTCACATTATGTTCAAATTTAAGTATGTATAATCGAAAAAATATTATTTGATATTGTACTATTGTGAAGAGAAAAATAAATGGATATTATTATTATTATTATTATAATTTTATTTTTCTCAATGACGACAACAGGAAGCATACCGAGTTTGCGATCATTCGAAAAACTATCATTATTTACAGCGACTTTAACATCATTTTTTGGAGACACTGACCGAACCCTAACTCCTCTCTTTTTTTTCACGGGTCGACCTACTTTTCGCGATGATTTATTTGAAACATCGATATCTAATCTTTCTAATTTAACTATTGGTTGCAATCCCTATTTTGTATCGGTTATTACGATCGCTTCCGCCAGTGTCGACTGGATATTTACGCGAGTGGGCGACTGCAACGCTTCTAATTCGACGCGCAATTTGTGTATCGAAAATTGGGAACCATCGTCTCTACGCCCAGAGAATAGAACGAATGCTAATGATTTTAAATTATTGCACCGTAGCAATCGCGCTTTACCATTAACAGCGAGTCTATTATTTTCGTCGACACCGTGACTGTTGAAAACGAAATATAAATTATCGTGTCTCCAAAACGAAATTGTATTAGATTGACCGGTGAATTTTTGATGATTTGATGTCGCAACAAATCTTCGAGTTCGATTATTTTCGCGTCTCTAGAGGATTGATCGGCGGCGAACAATCCATTGAGCTTCCAACTGCTGTCGTCAATGGGTTTTATTTTAGCCAAATGGTTCCCTACAGGAATATCGGCAGGCAGTTCTTCGGGAAATATAAGTCTACTTGGACCGGGAGAAATAATGGACATATAGAGCGAATCTCCATATTTTAAAATATCATTAATATTTGAAGTTGAAAAAGACCGCCTATCATTTACTACCGAAAAACTACATGCACAAGCCGACATAGCAACACATTGGAGACCTTCGCCTCGAAAACGGCTATGGCCCTGATGTGTGGAACCTAAAAGAAAAAAATACTAAATTTTTTGTATATTAGCACGCAAAAATATAACACAATAACTTGTGCGCGATATTTCAGATTGAAAATTTTAAGAAAATAAGGTTATGATAAAAATAAAAAACAACAAATAATAATATCTTTATTATAGTGTATGGTGATAAAGTAATGATGAAATTAAAAACAAGAAATAATATACCAAATTAATTTTATTCGAAAAAAAAAAATTATAAATCCACTCATATAAAAATCAATACAATCCAAAATAATAATAATAGTTTTATATTATAACAACAATAAGAACATGCAAACATAAATACATAGGTGACAAGTAATTACTACGCATATAATAACAGAAAACAAAAATATATTTTTTCATGTAATGTAGTTCCGTCGTCTTTTTCGATTTTCTTCATGTAGTTCCTTCTAA